ATGAGGACGTCACCAATGTCCCCATATTTCACCTCTTTCTGTAATACCTGTGTCATACCCATGTCACTATACAGATTGGTGTCCTGATATGTCACAAAAACACGTACACACACTCACACACACACACCAGACCTAACCTCCTCCACTGGTGATTTGCAGGAGATCGTGGATAAGGATGGGAACAGTAAGCTGCTGTCCTTCATGATCCCGTCTCTGTCCAAGCCCTCCATATACCACGAGGTACAGTACACACACACACACACACACACACACACACACACACACACACACACACACACACACACACACGACATCAGATACACACACACACAGTTCACTGACAGCTCAGTTAAGGCTCTGATAGTGCCCCCTGGTGGCCAGTTTTCAGGAGGGATAAGGCAGTTCTCCTCACTGCGCTGGCCTGCCCTATTCCAGAAGCTGGAGTGTTTAGGTGTGTTTGCCCATGTTCACTCACGGCTGGCTGTGTTGGTGTGTTGATCTCGTGTTATTGTGTAATGTTGTTGTGTTGGTTTTGCTCACATGGCATGATAGACAGCGGTCAGCATCTGCACCATGAACTCCGGGTCCAGCATCACACGCAGACCAGGAGCCGACCACGCCTTCAGCTGCTGCCGGGGGAACCCGCACACACACAGCCTGACACATACACACACACACATCATTAACATACATCACACACACACAATGGAGTGTGATGTAGATAACACAGGAGTGCAGTATGAGGACAGGCCTCACCGCGAGCTCATCCTGCAGACGGCCCGGTACGAGGAGCAGGGCATGTAGACCACCACTGAGTTATAGCACAGCATCAGGAAGCACAGCACCTCAAACCTGCACACACACACACACACACACAAACAGTGAAGATGTTCTGCGCACGAGCGTGTGTGTGTCGGTGTATGACTGCAGGGATGATGACCTGTTCTGCGCAGTGAAGGTCTCTCTCTGCGGGTGCAGGCCGCTGTACACCACCCTGATCAGGTCATGCTGACACAGAGCGCCCTCAGTCAGAGCCATGGAGCCCAGGCTGGACGGCTGCGCACGCGCACACACACACACACACACACACACACACACACACACGCACACACAGAACAGACATAGTGCCAGGCGGAGTGAGGGTGTGTCTGCAGTGGCTGGTTGTAAAGGTGTCTCTGGTGTCATCAGCCTACCCTCAACCAACACAGCCCTCTCTACAGAAACACCAGCGCAGCGACAGCTTTACATGTAGTGTATATCTGCTGCAGACAGGCCGAGCGTGCCGCCGCCACTGCCGCTGTGCACAGGAGAGCTTCTGCTGTGGGGAGAGCGGACACATCTGTACAGCTCCACAGGGCTCATGAGGACAGTGCTGCGGTGTTGATGATGATGTCCTGCCTGACCTCTGAATACCAAACCTGTCAATCACTCACCAAAGAAGGCGGAGCTCCAGGACACGCCCACTGACTGTATAATCTCCACTGACCAATGGCAGCTCAGAGGTGTTAAGGAGCCAGAACTAACCTGAGTGAGCTGAGGAGTGTGTGTGTGTGTGTGTGTGTGTGTGTGTGTGTGTGTGCGTGTGTGTGTGTGCGTGTGTGTGTGTGCGTGTGTGTGTGTGTGTGTGTGTGTGTGTGTGTGTGTGTGTGTACTGTACCTCGTGGTATATGGAGGGCTTGGACAGAGACGGGATCATGAAGGACAGCAGCTTACTGTTCCCATCCTTATCCACGATCTCCTGCAAATCACCAGTGGAGGAGGTTAGGTCTGGTGTGTGTGTGTGAGTGTGTGTACGTGTTTTTGTGACATATCAGGACACCAATCTGTATAGTGACATGGGTATGACACAGGTATTACAGAAAGAGGTGAAATATGGGGACATTGGTGACGTCCTCATTTCTCCAAAAGCTTCTAAATCCCACAGGATGAGTTTAATCAGAGAGTGACGCTGTACAGTCTCCTGTGATGGTTGGGTTTAGGGGTGGGGTGGGGGCAATATGATATAGTGTGAACAGTATTAAATGTATGGAAACCTTTGTAATGTCCCCACTTTTCACCAAAACAAATGTGTGTGTGTGTGTGTGTGTGTGTGTGATGCGCACCAGGTTGTAGATGCCCAGCAGCAGGGCCTGTACGCTCCCGCTGGCGTCTGCAGCTCCTCTGCGCATGAAAACCCACAGCAGCTCCGGCAGAAACTGCAGAGTGAAGCAGCGCAGACGCTCCTCACTGCTGCGGTACAGCTCGAACAGCTGATGACACACCGGCTCCAGCAGCTGCACACACAATATACATATATATATATATATACATATACAGAGATAACACGCACACAACACACACACACACACACACACACACACAGACGTGCATGGCTCTGCTCACCTCACTGTGAGGGTTCTGGATGACGGAGTACAGTGCTGGAACCAGAGTCTCCCTCTGCTGGAGGACTGAGGCATAACCACACCGCTGCGCTTCTGACAGCGCCTGCACACACACACAGAACACTTTAAAACACACACACACACACACACACACACACACACACACACACCTAACACTGTACAACACACTTCAGAGAAGATGTGATGAATGATATTAAAAACCCACCTTATATTCTGAAAGCCAGTCCTGCACTATAGCGCTCTCTGTAGCCATCACCAGTACCTGACACACACACACACGCACAAGCACACACACACACGCACACAGAATGACATATATTAACCCTGTGCTCTACTGTCCACATTGAACACAACAGCTCAGAGATAATTAAATAAACGAGTTCTTCACTGAGTGTGTATGGGTGTTTCCCAGTACTGGGTTGCATTAGCAAGGGCATCCACTGTGCAAAACATATGCTGGAATAGTTGGTGGTTCATTCTGCTGTGGACGAAAGT